CTTGCTTGAAATGACAAGCACAGGATTCAAACCAGTGTTCCAGGTGGTCAAGCACTCGGGCAAGGCGTAGGATCATGCAAAGATATTCCCACCAAGAAGAGTCACGGACAGACTGCGTCATTGAATCTCTCATGTTACAGAAGGAAGTGTAGCCTTCCCTATCCGCTTGCGATGCATGCGGGCCAAACCCTAAACCATTAAAACAGTCCCAGATCGGCGAAGTTGCGAGCGCAGCACAGCGCTTATCACCCAGGTCTCGCTGTTTCGCCTCTCCGCAGGTTTCGTCAGAGATCAGAGACTGCCGGGACCGGGTCTCAGCCGCGTGTAGCGCTTGTAGGGCTGAGGGATAACCAGGGCTTACAGGGTTTGAGGCTTAGTTCGTGCTTATAGGGTTTAGGGTACGTGTGCTTTATGCAGGGTCCAGGGTTTAGTGTTTGTTCCTTCTTTGGTTTCAAACTAGTAAAAGGGTTCGTGGTTTAGGGGCAAAGGTTCGAAACCAGGGTCGTAATGGGTGATAGAACCCCAGGTACAGCAGTGGACTCACTAACTCACATTGACCTTTGAAGCAGCACGCTTTCTGCGCGCCTTCGGTTCATGATCTACCTATAGTCTCCTTGTAGTTCCTTTATGGGGTAACCTTCTATGATCCTTGAAATAAAATGGGCCAAACCCTACAATGGAGACTATAGCAATAACAAGGAACCACGTAGTTTCCACAAGGGTCTTATCAGGTTTCCATAAGGGTTCTGTGGAGGTTTGTTTGTTCATAAGGGCCTGAGGAGCCAAAGGACCCAACTAAATTAAGTGCTTGGGTTTGGGAGAGTAGTAGTTGGTAGAGTACATTTTGGATCCTTAGAGGTTAGTCCACATTTAGTCTTCGGCTTCCCAGGTCAGGTAAGGCTCTAAAGGCTCTTGAGTTGAGGCTAGAGTGTTTAGGGTTTATGAAAGACGATGTAACCTACTATAGGAGCCTACATAATTGCCACTATTCTGGGGTTCCTTACTATACCCAATAGTATAAACATCCAAAGTCCTACTCTAATTTTCGAGGCGTCTCCATGAAGCCTTTTGGTGAGTTGCTCCGGGTTTGTTTTGGGATTCGCGATCTACGCTCTCGGCGCGAAGATCTTAAACCCAACAGTGGCATACCCGACACCCCAGAGGCCCTGCATCAAGCCTACCTATAGTCTCCATTGTAGTTCTTTTTTTGGTTTAACCCATTGTTTTTTTAAGGATCCCAAAAGGCAGCCCCACAAAGGAGCTGCAATGGAGAGTATGGGTAGTCTGAGGTTTCGGGCTCTCTGGTGTATATAGAGATCCGGTTTAGAGTTTAGGGTTTAGGGTATCATACTTAAGCCGGAGGGTTCTAACAATCCCCGGAATTCCGTAAGATGTGGTGATATAGGGACCCTTCTGGCTGCAGTAGAATAGGGTTTCGGGGCAAATGATACCGCAAGTACAGTAAGGAACCCGAAAACAGTATTGGTACTCATGTAGGCCCGTATGTTGCTGAAACCCACAACGCTCTGACAAGTAGGTCCTTTGCACAGAACCCAATCGGACTCCCAAAAAGACACAAGATAACAGCTAGGGATGCATCAAGCCCGCAAGTTTAGCCCGGGCTTTCAAACATCAAGCATGAAAAAACACGTCATTAGTGCACCCGGAAAAATCGAAAAAGCCATTCACCTCGCGAGTGGTCGAAAAAGGCTGGCATGGAGGAGACATCAGCCAAACCTTCAGTTGCAGGACCGTTTCTCGGGTTTGGGTTCAGCTTGCTACAACGAGGAGGAGAAGTCAGCTACATGGTGGGTTATTGGCCGGTAAATGAACAGAATCCCCCTCTAGTACCTAGCGATGGGCTGCAGCCGTGTGGCATCAAATCCCTCCAGGTCCTTTGATGTCAGTTGCTCGATGTTTCGCCGGCAGCAGGCTTCGCCTAAGCATACCCATACAGACCAGGGGTTCTCCAATGATTTTGAAGGGGTTTTGATATAACCCAGGATTGCAGAAATCAGGCTCCTGAGGTTCAGGGCGGAACCTTGAAACCTCTGGACCAATCCCTCAACCTTAAACCCTAAACCGTTAAACCCTAAACCCCAAGCCGCTGGACGGCTTCATGAACGACTTGGGGCTGAACTTGGGACCGATGTCTCTCCGTGATACTTTGCGAATACTTGAGACGCATGTACCAGCAAGGGTTTTCGGTGTAGGGTTTAGTTTAGGGTTTATATAGCAGGCATGGACGGCACAAAGATACACACTTATGTCGGTCTACATGTTGCACGTACACAGGGTGCAGTTGTACAGTACATGCAGAAATGCAGACTGCACTTTTTCTTGAAGTACCAGTCCATCCGTCCGTACATCGATCCATGCATCTATGTAGGAAAAGACACGTGCACACAGTTGTCACAAGCGCATACATTTATTTGCGTGCATGAATGTACATGCAGATATACATCTGCATGAGTATGCAGATCTGTGTACCTCTCAAACCAAATACCTAGCTAGCTAGCCAGCCAGCTGGCTACCTGGATGGCTAACTGGCTGCTGGCTGACCGGCTGGCTAGCTAGCTTGCTGGTTAGTTGGCTACTCCTTCATCAAGCACTCCTACCGACTGCACCCGGCCTCTCAACAGACCCGATCTCGAGTCCATCTCAGAAGCCTAAACCTGGAATCCCAAAACCAAGAGCAGCGGCTAAGGTTTGTAGCTTTAGGGTCCCTACACACACATGTCCCATCACCCGAAGCCCGAAACTGTAAACGCCCCGAACCCAAACCCTAAGACCCTTAACCCTAAACCCTGCACCCTAAAACCCTTAGACCCTGAAGCCTAGACCCTAAGACCCTTAACCCTGCACCCTAAAACCCTTAGTTAATGCGCCATCATTCAAAGCAAAGTGACCAAAGTTCCGGAAGTAGACTTCGCTGCAGTGAGGCCCACTGTCCTTTGAAGTCGGTTTGGGGTTTAGGTTTTAGGGTTTGGGGTTTAGGGTTTAGGGTTCAGGGGTTTAGGATTTAGGGTTTAGGGGTTTATGGTTTGGGGTTTGGGGCTTGCGGTTTAGGGTTTATAAGGGTTTAGTGTGTGTGTGTGTGTGCGCGTGTGTGTCTGTGTCTGTGTGTGTAGGGACTCTTCGAATTGGGGTGTCCTAGCCTGAAAAATCGTACTGTTTTTTGAGTTGATGCGGGTTGTCCCTAAAGTAACTAGGCACCCTACACAAGGGTAATGTATCAATTCTTTTGATACACAATCTAGTCTGTACTTCGGTATGGAAGTTAGACACGAAACCTGCATTCCACCCACGAGTACACTGTGACTAGAGAGGACTCCCTAAAACAACAAAGTATTTATGCACTATGCACGTAGTATATGCTTCATCCAAATAGTATAGTGCGCCGCACTCCTGCAGGCCAGTTTTCTCGGCGTGAAAACCTTTTCTATGCCACCCCCACATCGAGGCTACCACTTTGTTTAGCAGGGGGTTGACACATGTGGAGGGTAAGATTGTAGTGTCGTTTCTAAGGAACGGGTATTCGAGTATTAATTCTTATTGCGACGCTGGTATTACAACCATAAAACAAACACCCTGTCGCTCTCCATTCTGGTTTTACTCCTCCACTGCTGCGTGTCAACAGATACACACACTCTCTGCCGCCCGCCCTCCGTCTCTCTCTCTCTCTCTCTCACTCGCCGCTTGTCATCTGCTTCTCTCTCACGCGCTCTCTCTCTCTCTCTCTCTCTCTCCCTCTCTGTCCCTCACCCCGTCTATCAATCACTAGCCGAGCCCACGTGCGCCGCAATCTGCATCCTTCATTCAAAAAGACCATGAAAGCCCATCGCCGGAATTCCCTCTCACACCTATATGCCCCAATCCTCAACACTCGACCGCCACTGCGGTGACCAAGTACATGAAGCTGGGTTTCTGGGATTCGGGGTTTCAAGTGCAGGTACATACCCTGAGGCTCCATGTGCCCATATAGTATATGCTTAAGCCTCAAACGAGCTCAAACCCTAAACCCGAAACCCAATTAAGGCCTCAGCACATACTATATAATCGGAACATGGAGCCTTAGGCATGATAACCAATCCGGCCCAGGTACGAACGGATAGAAACAGGCACTCAGGCCCTCGGGCAATGCCGCTTCAAGCGCGAGTCCTTTTTCGGGTTTAGGGTTTAGGGTTGAGAGTTTTCGGTTTAGGGTGTATAGGGTTTAGGGTATGGGTTTAGGGTTTGGGGTTTAAGGGGTTTAGGATTTAGGGTTTAGGGTTTAGGGTCCTTGAACGGACTGTGAAGAATAGATTTGATGACTAGGACTCCCTCAGGCATTGCGAGGATTCCCTCTGGCACGGATGTGCCCGAGGGAGCGTGACTTTCAGGGGCAGATGACATTCGTGTGAAAAGGCTCATGCTGATCTTCTAGATGAACATGGGTGCTCCTACAACTTGTAATTCAGGTGTAGCATGTAAGTTCATGGCTCATGCAATATGGATCCAACTATTTCGGATTCCATCATCATAAAATGGGGTCGCATGTTTGCTGCAACCACCCTGTTGTTCGTGAGGACGAAAAACATGTCCGTCGGGGAGGGTGAGGGGCAAGTGCAGTGGCTTGCAGCTCTCAGGGTGCAGGGTTTCGAAAGCTTTGGCGAAGGTCATATTCTTAGGGGCTGAGTACCCCAGCCCCAAAAAAAGGTTAACCTTTTTAATTATAGTAGGATCATATAAGCCCCAAAAGGTTAAAGGTTACCTATTCAGTCCCTGAGTATTCGCGGGCACATAGTAAGCAAGCCGTCACCGCGCCTTGAGGATGCTAAGTACAAGGGGGACACGGCGTAATTCCTCTTAGCAGCTCAGCTTAGATAGCTCAAACCCAGGTAAAAGCTGCAGATCATCGTTACACATGGCAAAGATAAGCTTCATGGTACGTGCCTATGTCACCCTAAGCCCTAGTTTAAACGCTAAACCCTAAACCGGCCACCCCAGCAAACAACAACTCGCAACCCTGAGCTGTAAGCCTGCCGACCGGACCCCGCCACCCCGAACCTTCTGAAGCCTCAACTGAGCCACTTGTCCCAGAATCTGGGTTTAGGGTTTAGGGGTTAAGAGTTTAGGGTTTAGGGGTTTAGGGTTTACGGTTTAGCGTTCAGGGTTTAGGGTTTATGGCTTGCAAGTGTATAGAACGTCAGCATTATGCGGCAAATACCCCTCGGTTGGTTTGGGGCATACTGCTGCCATCGCGTTCCTTCGTGCTACTAGGTCAAGCCACCTTGCAAAAGACAGACGAGAACCATCGCTCTTTTAAGGTAGCCATGGCCAGAAGGTTCGGGGTAATCGGGGTATTTAGTTTAGGGTTTAGGGTTTAGGGTTTAGGGTTTAGGGTTTAGGGTGTAGGATTTAGGGCTGCAGGGTCTCGGATCTGAAAACGAACTTTGCGAGGGGAGTATCCCTACCTTGCTGGTCTCACTTCTGAAGGGAAGCCTTCAAGCCAGGCGTTTGCTGATGTGCCTTCTTGGGGCCCTAGCCCTACTATAGGGTCTACGCAGCAGGGTTGATTGGGTCTTATTGTTGTAAGGGCAGCCAGGGGTCGCCATCCGCCGATGCCGGCGAAGAGCTCACAAACTCGGAGCCTGCGTATCATGCGCGGCGGAAACAGGACGAAGCCCATGGCTTCATAGGTTCCTATGGGATTTATATGGATGCTATAGGAAAAATTTGTAGGATTTCAGACTCGTAGTACGTCTGTTTGTGCGGTACATGCTCTGGGGTTCAAAACGCTCAGCGGGAACAGAAATGCTTAGCGTGGCCGCGTGGCGCACCCGAAGCGCAACTGCCGCTGTGGTTTTGGGCTTATGAGGTTTAGGGGTTCGGGGTTTTCGGGTTTTCGGGCTTTAGGGCTTAGGATGTCGTCTAAAGGGTTTATAGGGTTTAGGGCTCTCAAACCCATGGGCCCACGGGGACAGGCAGCGGCAGAGGCGCAACCGGAAGGTTCCGGCAACTACTGTTGCGGTGCGTCCCGCCAGTTGGTGGGGGAAAACATTCTGGCCACGCCCCTAAGCCCAGAACCCGTAAATCCGACACCCTGAACCCCTAAACCCTAAACCCCTAAACCGTAAACCCCGCGAGTACATAGGGGAATCCATGTCCTGGCGCCGTCCCCTGGTGCCCTGCTGTCTCCTACTTAAAGGATCATGGGACTTAGTAACTGAGGTTATAAATAAAGTAACTATACTTATAGTTACTTATAGCCCCAATTAAGGTACTTATAACCCTACTTACTAAGTCCCAAGATCCTCCAAGTAGTGGTCCAGTTGGTCTCTGAGTGGTCTCCCTGTTGGTCTCCCCGTGGTCTCTTGGTGTCTTTTGGTTGTGCCCTGGTGTTTTTCCCGCGACCTTGCCCCTTGCCTCTTACCCTCCTTAAGAATATTGAAGTACCCGTAGGCCCCATGGTAGTTCCTTTTGGGGGTTATAGGATCCTTAATATAAGCCACAAAAAGGAACCACTATGGCGCCTATGGGTAGACATGTGAAAGTGACCGGGGAGTGAGCGATGGAGCGTAGTGGTCAAAGGCCGGTTGAGAAGCTCGCAAGCTCACATGCATGCCACATCATGTCGCTCCGCCTGGAAGGAAAGGACGGCACAGCCGAAGAGAACATCTGTGTGTTGTTGGACAGCTTCGGTTTCGTGGATGTGCAAACCTACTGGAGTAAGTCAGAATGAACATGTGAGCTTCTTTTTGGTGGCTGAAGCACTTGCCAAGTGCCCTGAGCCTCTACGTCATCCTTCTCAGTCGCAAACTCAGCATACTAAGCCTCCATCCCAGCTATAGGCTCTCACTCCCAATCGCCTGCTCCATGAACCCGAAGGAGCGGCGCATCAAACGCCGAAGCCCTGATCCCCAAACCTTTTAGGTCTAGGGTGCGCTTGGATGGTCTGGGGATAGAAGTAAACTTACAAGTACACTAAAGGGATCCTTATTGGGGTTGTGATACTTGTAAAGTCTGCAAAATATATCTACTTTCGAAGTCCCCCGACCCTCCAAGTAGGGTTCAATCCTAGCATGGGATGGTTCCCAAATGCCAAAATCGAAAGTAAAATCTCTTCCAATCGCTGAATGCTCATCTTGCTGTACTATCGAGGGTGCTGTAAACTACCTTAACCCCCCAGGTACCTACTATATAGGGTACTAGAGCCCCTAAGGGCCCTATATTACCTATATAGTAGGTACCTGGGCGGTTAGGGGTAATTCGGCTGCAACAAGACTTCCTCAACCAACCAGCTGCCCAGCGTCCCCAAAACCCCTTAATTAGGGAATATCCCTTAAACTACACCAGGAACCCTAATATGAGTTAAGACATATCCTAAACCCTTAACCCTAAACCCTAGCCCCAAACTCTATAAACCCTAAACCCTAAAGGGGTTTTGGAGTCTCTGGCTCATCGCCTCTTGGGTAGCACCGGCGCAGTGCTACTGCAGGCGCCCGTCGAAACGTCCTCAGCCAAAGTGCACGAGTCGTATGCAGGTTTAGGGTTTATAGGGTTCAGGGGTAACGGATGTGCATCCGTGCGGGAAAATCTGCAAATCAAGCAGCCCAAAAAGCCAAGTCTTAAGTTTGAGTTACACTAGCTGTAGGATTCTTCTGAAATGAGGCTTGGAGGGTCGGGTCCCGGTTGTAAAGGGTTCCTGTAAAGGGTACCATAAGGGCTGCTATATCATAAGGGTGTTAGGGGTTAGGGAGGACTTAGTAAGTAGGTAGTGAGTAGACTTGGAAGTACCTTAAAAGGGATGCTAATTGGGGTTATGGTACTCATATTACTCTAAAAGGACTAGTTTCTAAGTCACCCGACCCTTCGTGTAATAACACAAACCGTTAAAAGTTCTCAAAAACCCAGATATCAAGCCCCGGAAACCGGTTCAGCGCTCCATCATGCGGCAGAGATGATGGAAAGACGAGAGAATTTGCTCGAAGTAGTTCAGGGGGCTGGCACACGTCCACAAGTTGCCGGTGTTTTTCATTGAGCACAGGGCTTAGGTGAAGTCGCGTTTTGGGTGCGAGATGCGTTCAAGTAACCTATCATGATGGCACCTCAGAACGTTGCAGGCGCTAGTTCTTTACGCAGCTGATGTGTTGACTAATGGTTTTGGGTGCTCCCAAGAGAAGGGTTGCTGATTCAACCGAAATCACTGAGTTCAACAAGCCTCCATTTCTTTCAAGACAGCCCCGGCGAGCTGCGGATCGATCTCGCACGGCACAGGGGCAAGCTGCCAGGAGTCGCGATGCATCCACCCCCATGGCTAAGGAGAACGACAACTCTGACAGTTTCGTCAGGGTTTACAGGATGTTGCGCTGTCAGATAGCGGGCTTCGAATGATTCTACAAGAACTTGTGCATGGCCCAGGGCATAGTTTATTTCATGACTTCCTGCGTTGAGCAACCATGCTGATTACTGAAAAGGATGAAGGAATGTACACTAACGATGCTTGATATTCAGCTGTTCGTGACGAGCTCCTCAGGTCTGCAGAATGCATAGGGTCATAGGGTTGACTGTTGGAACAAGCGTCATACTGCCAGTTTACATGCCCGAACCACAAACCTTTGGCTGCGCAGCATCCTTCCTCGGCGTTTGCATCAGACTTGTGACTAGACAAGACTCTCTGTCGTAGCATATTCCGCGACCCGGAACAGACACGAAACTAAGCTGCCCAAACAAATGACCACTTTCGTGTTCGTAGCTCAGCAGCAGCGTTCTTACCCTGTCTCTCGGTGTTGTAAATGCTGGTTGCTTGCCATGCGATGCGGTGCCAGGGGTTGAAGGACGGTACATTCCCGACAAACAACGGGGCAAGCGGTTCTGATGTAGGCGGGGCCCGCAAATTCGCTCGCGCCCGTACCTTCCTGCGCCTGATCTACCCAAAGCCGATGACCTAAAAACTGAACCTGGGAACCCAGCACCTGAATTAAAATACCGCAGGGTTGCTAAAATGAGACCCCACAGATCGCTGGTTTCGGGCCACGCAGAACCAAAGAACATTGAGAGCCAGAGTCTTCACTGCGAGACACCCCCTCGATGGCAGGCTCTTGACATGGTTGGCGGAGGTCGTGCGCTGCAGCCTCCAAGCCGAAACTACACCGACCTGCGGAAACCCCAAGCCGAAACGCCAACCCTAAACCCGTAAGCCTTTAAACCCGAAACCCACGAGCCCCCTAGCCCTCAAGTAACTACGCTTTAGCAGGACTTGAAGACGGAAATGTCAGAAGGCATGCCGGCCTGGGGTGCGTGAATAAGTCGCATGTATTTAACCAAACGACTGAAGTGGAATTGTCAACATCTTTTTAATACGTCTAGAATATACAGGCTTAACGGCTAAGACACCAACGAGTTTTTTCTAGTATTATCTGGCCTAAAACAATGTTTCTAATCATGGTGCTCCGGTAGAACTGTAGCACATGCTCGGACTTGGAAGATACCATATGGCAAGTCAGATTCACGGCTTGTTCACACGTGGTTGCTCAGGGCTTGTCGGGTGTGGCATGGCTTGGGGTTATATGCTGCATAATTTGTATTGTGGGTGTGTGATGGCTTGGGGTTGTATGCTGCATAATTTGTATCGTGGAAATAATTGGACCGGTGAAGTAAGCGCTCGATGCCTGCTTTTTTTTGTCCGATACGTCTCTCGCTGAGATTGCATCAGGGCTCCATATTGGAACCTGTCCGACAGATGGCGTTTAACAGCGATTTTGTCAGTCAACAACCGATGGAGTATCGCGGCCTGCACTACTGACGATCAAGCTGTCTTACGATGTTAGATGTCGGTTACGTATCAGGGGGCAAGACTTGCCGTTCCTGCAGGGCTTTACGGCCGGCCCCATGAGGCCAAATTCAACCAGACTCCCGAAAACGTTCGCAAGGTCGCAACGGCAAACTGCGAACCAAACCTTAAAACAACAACAACAACAACAACAACAACGACAACGACAACGACAACGACAACGACAACGACAACGACAACAACAACAACAGCGACAACAACAACAACAACAAC